CGGTCGTTGGATGTGCAGCTGGTGATCTGCCGTTTGTGAGTTGGCTGCCCTCTGGCGTCTCGTCCGGTGCCACGTTGCTGACAGGAATGCCCAGGGCGCGGTTTGACCGGATCTTGTATATCATGTTTGACACAATGTTCTTTAGATGGCAGTCAAGCGCGTACAGCAATAGCTCACCCGACTCCCTCGTGACGCCGCCCGCCAGCCCCTGCTCCAGCGCAATCGCAACCATGCGGTAGTTCAGCGACTCTGCATCGGGGGTTGCCTTGGTGTCGTATACCAACGGTGCGGTGATGCCTTTGGCGATATCCATCGCGTATGACTGCGGCAGCTGTGACGCCGGCATCGGCAGCACCACAGGCTTCATTGCCCGAATCGCCTCCTGTGCCTTCTCAGGCGTGATGTCTGGCTTCCTCAGCAGCAGCTTAATCGCCCGCCGCTCGCCCTTGTTCATCGACTTGACCAGCTCCTTGACATACCGCCATTTGGGATCCTCCAGCATTGCCTTGATACTACGCTTCCCATGCCTGTGCCCCTTTTCGTCGTCCTGCATCTCGCCATGCCCGCGCTTGCGCCGCTCAAATCCCTTGTCAGGCTCTCCGTCTGGCGGTGCCTGGCCGCTCTGCGCATTGTGGATGGTTGCTAGAATAAACTGGTTGTGCAGTGCCGACTTGTTGCCGGGAAGATACATGTACGCGTAAAAGTCAAACTCTTGCCGGTTCAGCTTGCCCTGTACAAAGTCGCGCAGAGCGTTCCAGTACGAAGGCCCATCGTCACCCAGTGCCTCTGCAAGCCTCTCTTTGAGCTGTGTTAGCTGGTACCGCTCGTCTACTTTGGCCAGTACTGTGTCTGACGCGGTGTTTTGGTTTGGCAACGAATCGGCAGCCATAATGCCCTGCTAATTTGAATTTATAAGAGTGGGTGGAAAAAGCGCAAGCCAAAATGCGCAAATTCAAAGGCGGGCAGTCAGCACTGTCTCAGATGCGTTTTGGGATATATGGCTCGTCAGCTCGTCGGCTCGAATTTTTGCTTCGGCTCGAACGTGCTCAAACTCTGGATCCACCCTTTTGATCTGGGTCCAAAAGTGGCTCAAGTACATGCTCACAGCAACTGAATAGTGTAGCCACGGTCCGCACCACTGCAGCATCTTAATGCCGTATGTTAGTGTTATGATTTGGCAAAGAGACTCCCCTGAACGTTACTCACATGGAGATATCCACTAGCCGCTGTTACTCTGTTGTCAACCGTCTCTCTGGAGTAACAATCCTACCGCTTGCACCCATACCGAATTCTGGCGTGGCTTTCTATGCCCCACGTTCCCCTATGATTGGTTTGACCCTCTCCCGCCGCCTGCGCATTCACGATGTGTGATTGCCTGCTTCTCTGCAGCTGCGGTCGCTTACGCAAATAACCATCGGACCACCAGCGAGCGCATGCGGCGGCTGTGAGGCGGCGGATGGAGGGAGCTTTTTAGCCAACCACGGAGGTTTGCAGGCATCCCAAATGCAGAAGCAGGCTACTAGGGATCGGACATCGCTGACAACGCGTGCCTATCGGGCGCGAGGTGGAGTGCAGCCATTGGCGGAAAAAGCGCCGACGGAAAAAGCACTGACGGAATCAGCAAGATGCCACGCATCTGCCAGCAATTGTCAGAGGGACGTTGTTGGGGGTGCAGCAAGGAGAAAGAATCGGCGCTGTTTATTCCACTGGCTGGCGTTTGGGTTCGGCCGCTCTGTGCGCATCAGGTGCTTTGATCCAAGGAATTCCATATCTCCCCATGCCTCTCACGCCGGGGTGGTATTTGGATGCTCTTGGCCACCCAAAAAAAGCCCGTGTGGGTTCAGACATGCCATGATGTCAGAGTCCAGGTATCGAATAAACCGTAGGGGAGGGCGAACTTGCAGCCAGGCAGCCCGCATGCGGCAAATACCGGCGGATGTCCTCCTGTGCGCGCGGTCAGTCGCCCAAAAAAAGGTGGGCCCATGTATGTCCGGACTAGGGCCCAAACTTTTTATCAGCCGCGGCCTGTAGGGGAGGGTTCCGGGTGGGTGGTGGGTACATGCGCCCGCCCCCATCACAAAACAGGCGCTTTTTCTGTGTAATATGCAGAGTAGTAGCTGAACTAGCATTGTTGCTCTGATATCGCTCACGAATTCCAGAGCGGGGCCGCGCCGTTCCGGAATCGAATAAATAGCCTGCCACCCGGCCCTCGCCTTGCCTCTCGTTTCTCTTCAGTTTTCTCATCCACCTCTTCTTTTTTCAAAAGGTAAAAATCTTCACTTCTTGATCCCGCTGCTTATTTCGCTGTGCGCTTCCGGACTGTCTTGCTAACAACCCTGGCTCTTGTTCCATTGCCTTCTGTAGAATCACCCCCCCTTTCGTAGTAACCTTACTCGTCAGCAAACAACTTGTCAACAATGGCTCCCATCCAGATCGGTATTAACGGTTTCGGTCGTATCGGCCGTCTCGTCTTCCGCGCTTCGCTGGACCACCCCGAGGTTCAGGTCGTTGCCATCAACGATCCGTTCATGGATCTCGAGTACATGAGCTACATGCTCCGCTACGACTCGACCCACGGCCGTCTCAAGGGCGAGGTCGCTGTCAAGGACGGCAAGCTTGTTGTTAACGGCAAGGAGGTCTCGGTCTTCGCCGAGCGCGACCCGGCCGCCATCCCCTGGGGTAAGGCTGGTGCCACCTACGTCGTTGAGTCGACTGGTGTTTTCACCTCCAAGGACAAGGCCGGTCTCCACCTCCAGGGTGGTGCCAAGCGCGTCATCATCTCGGCTCCCTCGGGCGACGCCCCCATGTTCGTGTGCGGTGTCAACCTCGATGCCTACAACCCTGCCACCGACACTGTTCTGTCGAACGCCTCGTGCACCACCAACTGCCTGGCTCCCCTGGCCAAGGTCATCCACGACGAGTTCGGAATCGTCGAGGGCCTCATGACCACCTGCCACGCCACCACCGCCACCCAGAAGACCGTCGACGGTCCCTCGGGCAAGGACTGGCGTGCGGGCCGTGGTGCTGGCCAGAACATCATCCCCGCCTCCACTGGCGCCGCCAAGGCTGTCGGTAAGGTCATCCCCGCCCTCAACGGCAAGCTCACCGGTATGTCGCTGCGTGTCCCCACCCCCGACGTCTCGATCGTCGATCTGACTGTCCGCCTGGAGAAGTCTGCCTCGTACGACGAGATCATCGCCGCCGTCAAGAAGCACGCCGACTCCGACCTCAAGGGTATCCTGAGCTACACCTCGGACGAGGTTGTCTCCACTGACTTCCAGGGTGACGCCCACTCGTCCATTGTCGACATCAAGGCCGGTATCGCCCTGAACGACAAGTTCGTCAAGATCCTCTCGTGGTACGATAACGAGTTCGGTTACTCGAACCGTGTTGTCGACCTGATCAAGTACATTGCTTCCAAGGAGTAAGCTGTTTATTTCTATGGCTCCTTTCTAGCAACTACTTTCTGTTTCCTCATTCTCTTGTCTAAACACTACTACCCAATAACAGTTGTCACATAAAACCTTCTGCGTGTTATCTGGGTTCCAAAAGCAGGACCAAAAGTCGCAAACCCTGATCTGAAAAAGCGAAGTTGCGGATCGTCTGAGCCCAGATTCGTGCAGCCTTCGTGCAGTATAGGGGCAGTCTGCCCGGCCTATCGGCGCAAGACGTGCCAGCGTCACCTCATCACTAGCTTTTTTACTCGGTGCCAGCGCTAAAAAAATAAAGCGTATATCACCGCAGATAAAGGAACTCACGCCTCAGCGCTGTTGTGGCCTGAGCACACCCCCGCGCCGTCGGAATTATTCGTACCGTTTTGGACCTGCGGCATGCCAATTCCACAGTCACAATTTATTTTCCGTACCCTATGCGGCATGTGCTAGGCGTGTGAAAGATCCAACAGGGGGAGGAGGGGGTGGCATACCCGGGGCATGCCGACCGGCGCCAATTCTCCCGCTTCTCTCCGATGTCACTTCTCCAGCACGCGTTCCAGCAGCCGCCTGACATCTTCTGGCTCAAACCCCGCGCCGCCCTTGAGTTGGTCGACGACGCGCACGAGGTTGTGTTTCAAATCGCCGTTCCGGTACACCAGCACAATCGGCAGCACCTCTGGATCCTCGAACCCGCACAGGCCAGCCTGTACATTCAGAAACACAACGTGCGGGTATTTCCTGCACTCTCCGCGGATAAAGCGCTCGAATCGCGCCGATACCTCGACATTCTCGTTGCCAAGCACCACCACCACATCTTTGTGCTTCTCGACAGTCTCCACATACTCGTCGGGCGTCGCATCGCGCAAATATCCGAGCCCAGCCTTTGCTGCCTTTTGCGTGATCTCATCCATCCGTTTCTGCTTGTAGTCGTCGAAAAACTGCGCATCGTCATCATCAGCTAGCAGCGCGTCAATGCTATCGGTATCTGACTCGTCGTCCTTGGTCCAAATAGTCTTTGTCGATGCCTGGATGCTGCGCTGCGATATAAGAGCTGAGAATTCGGACTGTGCAGCGGCTGTATCGGCAGCACGGCGCGCGTTCTCGGTCTGACGCTGGTGCCGGTAGTCGGCGATTACTCCCTTGACGCCTGTCTGCGGGCCGTCGTGCGTAGCGAGCTGCTGTTGCGGTAGATCTGGGGAGGTGTCTTCGGTATCGCTGGGAGTGGAGTCTTCATTAGCGATGGCCCGCACCCGCTCAGACACATCTTCGTCACCCATGTTCCGGAACTCGCCATTCAGGATCTTCTGCTCGATGGTTGACATGGTATAAAAGCAAGGGTGTATGTGCATTGCTGCATGCGTGCGGTTTTCCTCTTCTTGATTTGCAATCTGATTGGGGTGTGGCAAATATGGGGGTTCTTACTTGCCAGGTGCCGGCTTGAATATGCACAACTCCCAGTTTCCAAATACTTCAAATCCCATTGAGCAAAAACATTGCAACTGGTCCATTTGGATGTTGCATATAAGATCCAAGTTCCGTGGCCATGTTTTACACTGCTTACACATTCTAGCTCCACGCCTGGTCTCCGGTATGTGCGTCTATGGGTAGTGGCCAGAACACAAGGCTACCAAATGTCCTATCTTTCGAGTGACCTTCCTCTATGCAGTCTTGTTTCATGCAGTAAAAAGTAGCTAGGATAAAGTAAAGTGAGTTCCACTTGCGTGCTAGGCAATGGCGAATGTGCCGTTTGTCTGGCGTAAAACAGCAAAGTTCAGAAAGGTGCCTATCTTTTGAAGCCAAATGCGGTTTTCATTGCTGGAGAATTCCATATATAAGTGTCTGGCTTAAGCTGTGGTGGAATCCGAGCATGCCAGTACTCTGGGGCCAACAGCCATCAACTTTGCGCGGATTATCACCCTCTGTATGCTGGCATAGGGTTTGTTCAGAATTCTTAGTATTGATGTTGAATGGCTGATGAGCAATGCTGATGGCCCAACACGTGCTATTATCCCAACTGGTATCGAGGTAGTGCCTGGTGGACTAGATGCACTCTGCACACCGTACATCCTCCACAGCAAGGACCAACCACGCTATCTTTTTGGTCACAGAATGAACATGTTTGCCATATATCTAGTGGTGATATTCACCTATATAGCCCATTAATCCTGTTTATCAAAAACAAGTGGACAGAAACCAGACTGTTTAATCTCATAGGGACATCTCAAGGCGAGATAAACGACCTGGAAAACAAGCACCCTGACTTCTGCCATGTGCATCGAAGATTATGTAGTGTGTTAACCTTCAGAGAGTCCAGTAGTTATGAGTTTTATGGAATGAATATGACTGAAATTTTGCTGAGGAGAAAAAAGGGTGGATGGGGCCATTCTGGCCCACAGTGTTTATACAGGTGGGGATTTGGATCTGTACATGGTGACGAAGGGCATGGGGTTGCCCAAATGTCAACAAAATGTATGCACGCAGATGCTGAAGTGGATTTGCCTTGGCATCATAGTATCGGTTGTCTTTGGCGAATCTGTACTTGGCATCATAGGCATTGAGGACTGGTGCCAGCGTGTTGTAGATTGCAAGCATCGGTGGGGTGAGCACACTGAGATCAGGGTGCCTAGAGGCAACTGCCTGGCGGAGCTTCTGTGCAGGTGTATAAATACACACTTGACATGCGTTATTGAACTCAGCCTTGGACACATTGCCCATTGTACTGTGCGTGTGTTTTTGCGGCTGCGAATATCAATCAGTCTGGCCAGAATCTGCTGTAGGCAAGTGCCATAGTGCAACACAATGTTGTTCTTGTATGCTGTCATCAGCTCGGTATCCACGTATGTTGCTACTTGATTCATTTAACGTACACCATGTAGCTCGATATCGCCATTATGCAATAGATAATCATAAATATGGTATCTAACTACATCACCGAAATCTGCGCTCGACAGTTCTGACTTGTCCTTCCGGTTGACGAAATCCTCGGCAGACATGGCTGTCTTTGCCTTCAGGTTGCGATAAATGAATAAATAAATAGAATGAAAGAATCCCTTTTTCACAAATGTTGCAGGGTCAAAGGCATCATCGTTGGCTAGCTGATGGAGTAATATCCATCATGCAAGCATATATGTATGCTCTTTGATGATACTGACGCTGTGTACAAATTGCTCTAGGCGGGGCAACATAGAATCACGGAAGCCAATACCACCAAGTGATGTCTTTATGACAGTAGTGCTGCGGGTAATATCCATTTGAGTAATTCAATATGCAAGCAAGAAGAGAAATGATGCTGTTCAGCTTTGCTGTATTGCGTATGCATAGCATTAAGAACTTTTTATTAAAAATGATCTGGCTTGCATGGTTCTTGGGGCCCTTAGCACTGATACAGTCTCTTGAATCAGTCTATACAGACTGGGTCCATTGTGGCCCAAATACTACCGCTTACGCATGTTCATAAGACAAATTGATATATAAAATAAACCTACAAATATTGCATGACTGCTAGAAGAGCCATATGGCCTTATTCAATAGGTGCTCATAAATAGATATCCTAAGAGCGTTGCGCAGCCGGTGATGACCACCATGATGACACCATGGAAGTTATCAGGCCGACCGACAATGAGAGCAGCTCTTGCGCTGAACCAGTGGAGATATCTAGTGGAGACCTGTGACCACTACAATAACAACTTGTCACCCTGGTTTCACCGATGAGGTCAGATACCGCACAAGATCAAAAAGGAGTTTACGGAGCAAGCTACCTAAACCCGTGTTGAAGCTTATGGGTTTTATTTTATTTTTTTAACAAATTAATTAATTTCTAGCGGACAGTCGGACACTTTTTGGACTATAAAATCTTATATATAGGTAAAGATAAAGATATTAATAGACTAGTTCAGCAAAGTCGTTCCAGAACTCATTCTTCAGGACGCTGTCCATTACCGAAGGTGTGTCACAGAAATTGACAAGAATATCTTTGCTCGGAGGCGGTGAAGGAAGAATAATGCAAACACGCATGCATAATTCAGGATGTATTGTCGAAAATGCTTGAACGCCGTGGCCAAAGTCCGCATCGTACATCTTGATAGACGTTATATTGGTAGCTGTGGTCACAACCTTGTAGTTCATGGCGATAGTGAGGAAACCAGCGGCATATTCTACATCGGAATCTAGAATTTCAACAGTTTGTCTGATGCGCGGTGTGGTAAGCGCCAGTAGCTGTGACCGAATCTGACCAGCAACCACCGAAATAGTTTTAGGAGTAATTGGCAAATGTGCCTGTTGCATCGGGGTGAGAATAAATTCGCCGAAAGCCGGGTTGCCCATGTAGTTCAACTCTGTCATTCCGAGGTGACGACGATAGTTAATGACGACAAAAGTACAGTGTTCACCCGCGACTCCATTGCTCTGATTAGTTAGTCTTGCCAGCCATCCCTGACTCTTCCTTGTTGCAGCCTGTTCGTGGACCCTGTGCAAAACTGCAGATATGATGTCATTAGTGGACAGGTATGTCCCCTGTGGCAGATACTCGAGTACCTGGCTACGAAGCCCGTCAATCCTGGCACGCGAAATCCGGAATAGATGCCCACGCGGTGAAGCAGAGCTGGTCAAATAGTTCATCAGCCTTCCGCGTTTGTTAGGAGAGAGCCACATAATGAAATCTGCCACGCGAGATTGAACTGAAAGCACTTTGGTGGCGGTTTCACTAAGAGGTGCATTCTCGCTCGGTAAATGGCTCTTGATGATATCGGCACCAAAGCAAAAGCTTACTTCTGCCACAGGCACACCGGATATCAGTGCACGAGTCTCATCTGCCCAGCGTTTGAGAAAAGTTAGAATGCTGGTAGCATCTGCAACTGTATGGTTGAAATTAATCGAAATAGCTGTTCCGCTGTTGTCCTTTAGTCGCACGACGTGGATATGCACAAGTTTAATCTTCCCTGTAACCTCGTCACAGCAGGGAAAGGGCCCAACAGGAACCAGACCATCAGGCCATGTTGTGCGGCTGAATCCAGCAGACTGCATCTTGCTGAAATGCACCAAAGACTGCGACTCACGATATTCAGGCATATTCAGGTTGTCTTTGTCAACGACGACCTCCATTCCGCCACCTTGTGTAGGGTGAAGATTACCAGCGAACCAGGGACAGAGAGCAAGGGTCCGGTAGAACCCTTCCTCGAGCTTGTCGCTTGGCATGAAATCCTTATCACTAGCCGTATTGGCATAGAAGAAGAGAAAGCGCACGGTAATCTCCAGCATTCGCATCTCAAATCGTCTGCAGGCAAACCTCTTCGATTCAATGCTGCTTACAAAGTGGTTCATAGTAATGGGAATATATACTTTAAGTTGCTAATGACAAGATGAAAAGGTTTTGTTAGTCTTACCTCCAGTATTTATACCAGAAACATCAGGGGATAGAGTGTGAGGAGGTTTACAGGCGAGAAACAGAAATGGAGTATAGTAGTATTCAAAACAATTGGCCAATAGGTTTTTAGCTGAAATAGTGCATTGTTTAACATGATGGTGTTAGATATGAAGGAAAGGGAATATAAATTGGAATAGCTGCTTAATATAAAGCTCAGGGAACAGAGGAAAACGAAGAGAGAAGACAAGGGGGGCTAGATAGGTTGTAGAACAATTAATTTCCCCTTGAATCATAATGGCGATGTGTCGGTGATAGGTGCCATGTTTTCATTGGCCAATGGTATGCGATAGTCGAGGAAGTATCCTCTGTTGACTTCTGTCAGCTGAGCATTAACACCTATATTGTTACTTGGTTGTGTCTGATCAGCCACCTCATTTCTCGTGCTCGGTCCTCCGAGTAGACGAGAATCGACACCCATGTGGCCGTTGATACTCAACTGGCCAGGAACGCAATAGTGACTATGCCTTCAGCCATTTGTCTATGTGGAGGTTATCCACATGCCGAACACCATGCATCTAGGTCTGGATCCTAGTTACTAATTATATAGAGAAACTTGATTGGGAACGACCCCACGGAGCCGTCTGAACTACCTGGCTAAGTGCAATGGCATCCATACTTCACCAAATTACATTTGGTGATCACATTACTGCCGCTCAAGCCCAACGACTATGCGAACCAGCCAATCTGGAAGATGAGACAAGTCCAGGAGTAGTCTGGGTAGGATTCATCTTTTTATATTTGTTGAATATGTGGGGGTTTGAAGTTATATTTAATACTGAAGAAAAGAGAGAAAAGGGAATAGACGAGTTGTGCAGAGGAGTCTTCAATACGGCCGTCTGTGCAACTTATCAGAGGCTAGACTCTACCTCCATATCGTAGGCTGTAGCGGGGCTCTCGTTGGCACCTGGATTGCTGTCACCTGATTCGGCTGACATGTCGACGTCAGGGACAGCCGCAGCGGGTGCGCAACAAACTGTCAAGCTATGGTATCTTAATCCAGAAATATGCGAGCGTTGTGAGCGTATCAGCAATAGAAAGTGACAAAGTCAAGGAATATATATTGATGAAGAAAGCTAAAGAGAAGTAGGAAAGGAGAGGCGAGCGAAAAGGTTTTATACCATCGCTCAGGTGGCACAACCAAAAAGAAGAAAGAAAAAGAACAACAGGATGAAAACTATGTAGTTCGCAGAAATCGGATCTTGAGATTCTAACATCGCTCCACTCAATTCGCTAGCGTAGTCAGCATCCTGCCTGCTCGCCCACCAAGCAAGGATGTGTATGTCTCAATTACTGGCACGTCAGCAGTGCTTGAGAGCATTTGCAATAACAAGTTTTGGAGACGATTTGCCAATTTCGTCTATTTGAATTAATTGCTGGAGCTGGAATGCCAAGCCACTCCTACGCGATCATAAACCAGACCAGGCACGCTCAGAAACAGACTCAAGGAGGGCAGGTGGCCTCTCTTTTATGTTTCTTAGACACTATTTAGTTCTATTTCCTATATGTGCTTGTAAAAGCTTGTTCTGAAAGAAAAAAAGCACTAGATATCTCGCGCTCGCAATGCCAGCCTACCTCTATGTAAGACAAACAGTGTTTAGTTTAGATGGAGGTCAGGGCTGCTGATACATGTAGTTTACTCGGCTCTGCATTGCTTGTTGTGTCCGGCCTCGGAATCGCTCTTGTGCAAGCTTTTGAGAGCGGAATTTTTGAGAATCCAAAGCTGCCTGGCGCTATTGTAATGTAGAAGATGTATGTATTCGCATACTTGAAAGGAGGATTGTGCGAGAAAAAAGTATTGTATCTGCAGAGCGTGTCATGCACACTTGCTGTGAGGCTCAGAGGAGTGCAAATCCTTTCGACTAGCCAATAGCGCACTAGCGGATGGTTGGCCACTTTTGGATACTAAAATCCTAAGCAAAGCAAGATATACTGAAAAGGACCGAAAAATCTCAGGAAATAAGTGCCCGTTTATGTATAGTGTCTGTCGTTTAAAATAGTGCATGAGGTTATTGTATCCCAGGGATTGAGGGTCATGTGCTCTATTAATCCTATGACCGGCTGGTGTGGGAACTGTCCCTGAAACATGAGGCCAGGGAGGGGGAGCTGTTGACACTGAAACAGTAAAATACTTTTACACCAGTATGGCCAAGCCAAACACATACATTATTAGATCCCCCGAGTCTACCCGGCCCCCTTTTCTCCTCACTCGCCTTTAATCGGGATTATTTTCCGAAATATACGCTTGTGAATACCTGTTTCTATCTTTGGGGGTTAATTATATGGTACTGAGTTGATTTGGTACTTAGCTTTTGTATGAAGTTTCTAGAGAGGAAGCAGCTTTCGTCCTACTGGGAAGCATAGGTAGGTAAAGGTATTGTGGCATACATTATGTCTGCAGCCGTTTTCCACCTCCTTCCCTGACAATTGTGTTTCCTTTTCCCATTCCAATTGTACATACCATCCTCTACTGTGATGTTGGGGTGGTCGGCGAGTCGGCATTGTTTGCTGTGTTGCGTATAAATGGGTGAAGTGTCTGGTTGGAATAGTGCTTTTTTCAATTTTAGAGAACGGAATGGGAGAGAGCTTAAGAAAGGATACTAAAATAGGTTGTAGAGAAACCACACCTATCTTGAAAATGGTGACATCGTCTCGATGCTGGGTGACATATTGTCGTTGGCTAGTGATATGCCATAGTCGGTGGGGTCTCCTCAGCTAGCTTCAGTTAGCTCAGTGTCAATATCTAAGCTGTCACCTGTTTTTGTCTGATCAGCCACCTCATTTCTCGCGCTCGGTCCTCCGAGTAGACAGGAGTTGGCATTTATGTGGCTGTTGGTGTTCAAATGGCCAAGGGCACCACACTTGAGCATAATACAGCAGCTAGGTTGAAGCCAATGCATGTGTGAATAAAAGGTCAGTACAATTGTGTGAATATTATTTGTGGCTACCTCTGCGGGAAGCTCTATGCTCCTGAGGTTTCAAAAATTGTTTTGCAAACTTTGTAGTGGCACCATCCAAAGTAGCTAGCTAGAGCTCCTATATATATTCAGTGGTTTGCTAAAGAAAATCGTCTCGCTATCTCACTTTTCTTGCAAACATTGCACGTCTTAACCACTCAAGAACCAACTCACAGAACTTACTTCAACATCTCCCGCAGAATGAACCTGTTTATCTGCAAGGTCGCACTCGCATCTGGCGGGGTGGCTACTAACATCCCCATTCCTGGTGACAACTTCCCTGTCGCCAAGGAGCTCGCTACGTCTTTTCTGGATGGCGGTCCTCCTGCTGTTTCCACGGAAATCGAACTCATTGCACTCTTTTTGGCATACTGCAGCTCCCGTAATCCCGATGTGGCCGTTGCCGTGTTCCTTCACCTCCATCAAGGATTCTGTCCTGACGAGAACATCCACGTTGTGGTCCAGCAGCTGAACCTGTCTGCCGAGCAAGCGCGCACCGTCCTGAAGGGATATTATTCGGTCTGGAACATCCTTGAGGCGCGCCAGCTGCTGCCCGAAGTTCCTGTTCCCGCCATCTTCTCGGATGTGAACATCAGGCTTGCTGTCATGTTTGGTGGGCAGAGCGGAGCAGAAAGCTGCCTTGACGAAGCAGGGTGGCTTCTTGACGTTTACGGCCCGCTGCTGTCAGATTTTGTTACCCATATGTCTGACTTCCTCAAGCGCGAATCCGCTGACCCCCTAATGGCGAAAGTCCATTCGCGCCCACTAGACATTGGTAGCTGGCTTACTTCTCCCGATGCAATGCCTGATGCCAGGTATCTGGCAATGTCACCAGTTGCAATACCCATACAAGGACTAGCTCAAGCGATGCATGTGACTGTCTTGTATAAGGCACTCCATGTAAACCCAGGCGACCTTGTCTCACGCTTTAATGGTAAGCACACATCATTCATCACTGGTTCCAGTGTATGCCAAACGTCGGTATTCATCATTACTAACTGTTCATTTTTACATCTGTAGTTGCAATTGGACACAGCCAAGGTATATCCATGGCTGCTGCCTTTGCTTCCGTGACTGACGAGGCATCATTCTATGCCATCACCGAGAAGGTGCTCGGTATCCTCCTTGCGATGCCAGCGATTTTACGGTTTGATTTCATTTCCAACGCATCGCAGACAGACATTTGTGGACCTCCCTTATGCTCTGGTGAACTATCCATGCCCATGGTCTCTGTTAGTGGCCTGGATAAAGCAACGTTGGAGTCGTTCATTACTGCTTTTAATGCGGATCGCACAGACGACACGTCAAGGGTCAATTTGACCCTAGTCAATGGCCCCTCAGACTTTGTCGTTTCTGGACACCCAGGCGCTATTTCCCACTTTGATTGTTACATCAGCATGCACACAATCTTGCCGACAGTGGATCAGTCGTGCATCCAATTTTCTCAGCGCAAGCCAGTTGCTGTCGTTAGCCCGCTTAGCATATCTGAACCGTACCACTGCGATCTCCAACTAGAGAACGCGTTTAAGGTGTACGAGTTTGCAGCTGCTAAGGGGTGGGTTCTTCACGCTGACACTCTTCGCATCCAAGTCAATGGTGGAGATGATGGGCACGATCTTCGCGATGAAGCTGATCTCACTCGGTTCTTGATTGACAGCATGGTTATGCACCGTGTCAACTGGCCGGTAGCCGTCAACAGCACTGATACCACGTTTATCATCGACCTCAGTCCAGGTGGCTTCAGCATCTTTGGGAAATACACCAGAGACATTCTGGACGGCTACGGCAAAACTGTCATCAGCACCAGCTCGCTTATTGCTAACACCAAGTTGCGCATGGGGTCTAAGGCCGATTTGTTCAAGAGGAATATATCCGACGTCTTCTCAGCGCCAAACTGGCAGAGTGCTTTCGGTCCACGCCTTGTTCGAACCGCACATGACGGCCAGCTTCATATTTGCACCCGCATGTCCCTCACTCTTGGACTCCCGCCTGTGATGGTTGCAGAGATGATGCCGACTACGTCCAACGAACACTTTGTCGCAGCTATCAGCAATGCTGGGTACTATGTCGAGCTTGCCGGCGACGGGATGTTTAATGAGAAGCTGTTCTGCGAGAAGGTTAAGAACTTGGTCAATCGCCTTGAGCCTGGCAGTGGATTCGCTTTTAGCGCCGTCTACATGAACCAGAAGCAGTGGGTGTTCCAATACCCAGGTATCCTGCATATGCGTCGAGAGGGAATACCGATCACAGGGCTCCATATTAGTGGTAGTGTTCCCTCAGTTGCTGTCGCCAACGGGATAATTGCGAACTTGCGCAATGCAGGCATAAAGCATGTTGCCTTCAAGCCCGGGTCAGTGGCTACAATTCTCCAGACACTCGCGATCGCCGGGGCAAACCCTGACTTCCCAGTCATTATCCAGTGGACTGGCGGTCGCGGTGGTGGCCACCATTCGTGTGAAGACTTCCACAGGCCAATTCTGGAGACCTACAGCAAGATCCGGTCACTGCCGAATACCATCCTGGTCGTTGGGTCAGGGTTCGGCGATGCCGACAGCATTCTGCCATATCTCTCCGGCCAGTGGAGTGTCCAGTTTGGATATGCGCCTATGCCTGTTGATGGAGTATTGTTAGCGTCGTGTGTCCTCACTGCAAAAGAGAGTGCCATATCTCTGGAAGCAAAGGAGCTCATTGCGGCAGCCACTGGCGTTGAGGACAGCGAGTGGGAGTCATCATATACTGGCAATGCTGGCGGAGTGATATCAACATTGTCGGATTTGGGAGAACATGTCCATATTCTAGCTACTCGAGCTGCACTGGCTCTCAGAGAGTTGAACGACATGATATTCTCAAAGCCCCTCGCTGACCAGCTGCCGACAATCATGGCAAACAAGGATCATATCATTAAGCGGCTCAATGTGGACTGTGCGCGGCCATGGTTTGGCAAGAAATCCGACGGTCGGGTGGTTGATCTGGAAGAGATGACGTACCTGGAAGTACTCAATCGACTTGTGGAGTTCATGTACGTCGCAGACAAGTCCAGGTGGCTGGATGTGTCCTACTGCAGACTTTTTGGGAAATTCATTTCGAGGGTTGAGGACCGAGTGTCTAGGGCAGAAATCACCCGGGCATTCAAGTATGATATACAGCTTCAAAATCCATCAGGGATCATTAATTGGCTGGTCAAAAACTACCCAGAGATAAGCTGCACTCATATTGCGCTTGAGGATGTTCAGTATCTGGTCTGGCTTTGCAAGCGTTCTGGGACCAAGCCAGTTCCATTCGTTCCTATCCTCGACGCCGACCTGCATGTCTGGATGACAAAGGACATGTATTCACAGGCTGAGGATTTGGATACAGTTGTTGACAGAGATGTCCAGCGTACCGTTGTTGCCTTGGGTCCTGTGTCTGCAAAATATGTTACCACAGTCAACGAGCCAGTCAAGGATATACTCGACCGTGTTTACACCGGGCTAACGGAAAAGCTTAGCATGTGCAATTTCGATAAGGATGCATCTCTAGTCCGTCCTTGCGAGTACCTTGCACCAGAGCCTTTTCCAGTATCGCTCCCTACCTCGGTTGCAGTGGCTGTTGATGAGTCAAGCCGCACATACAAGCTCCCAACCGATGCAGCACTGCTTCCAGATCCTGATGTATGGCTGGAGGCACTGGCAGGTCCTACTCAGAGCTGGCTTCGTGCACTTCTCACATCGCCAGTTGTAGCTCGTAAGTCACTGTATGCTGCAAATCCAATAAGGCAGGTTCTGCGACCGATGGCAGGGCAGACAGCGGAGGTGGTCTTTGCTGGCGATAGGCCGGTCAAGCTCGATATCCATGGACCAACTGGGCTATTGGACATTCGCATACAGCTCCATGGTGAGAAGAATATTCTGATGATTATTTACCATCGGATTGGCGAGGACCAGTTTGAGATTCAGTTCCCTTACATCTACATGCCATCCAAACCAGCAGCACTTGTTGCTGAAGACGTTGAGGGCCGGGACTTGTCATACCGCAATGCATTCCTTGACATCTATGGAATAGCAGCTGAGTCCGCCGACATGGGCGGGAGTAGTCTGTATCGACTCTTTTCGGATATTGAGCACAAGCCATTCGCTGTAACGGAAGACTTTGTTCAGAGATACTGCTCGAGTGTTCACAACTCATCAAAATATTATAAAAAAGCAGTCGGCGAGCAACATCTGGCTCCAATAGACATTTTCCTCAGCGCCATGACCAAGCAGACGCTTTCTATTATGACCACTCCTCCACTTTATCAAGGACTTGTTGGAGTTCTCCATCAATACCATAACGCCGAGTATGTATCAGGCGTGGCGATACTGCGTGTAGGAGATACCATTGACTACCAAGTAGCTCTTACTGCTCTTGAAAACGTGGATTCGGGTCTGAAAATCACACTTACGACAAAGTTTCACCGTGAAGGAGCACTCATTGCTACGTCTAAAGATGTCCTCATCTCGCCTAATCAGCATGTTGCATACAGCCAGACGTTTCGATCAGGTGATGAACCCGTACGACGCATGCTAATTATATCTGATGTGATGCCAGCAGTTCTTGAATCCAATGAGTGGTTTACTTGCAAGGAATCTCCTGAACCGTTCAAGATTTTGCCTGGGGATATTCTGGAGTTCAAACTTCATTCTCTGTACCGGTTCAAATCCAAGAATCTGTATTCCAAGATCAAGACAGCTGGACCTGTGTATCGCTTACAAGCCTATGGGGAATTCGAGCACATCGCTGATGTCTATTACGAGGGAGATGGTGTTTGTGGAAACCCTGTCTTACAATATCTAGACGAAAATCATCTAGAAAGTATTGGTTTTGTGCCTATTGAGCATGGGGGAACGGCATCATGGCAAGCAGGAAATTCTGGCATCTTGTCTATGAATGCTCCATCAGAGAACTGGGAGTTTGCGCATGCTTCTGGCGATCAGAACATGATGCATACTAATCCGTATATAGCTGCATATCTGGGAGAATCGGAAATGCTTTGCCAGGGTATGTGGACATCTGCTGCAACCCGTGCTATTGTCGAACGAGTTGTTGCTGATAACGACCCTCGGCGCATGCGCTCATACAGCGTCCAGTTTGTTGGAAAGGTCTATCCAAACGATAAACTTCGGGTGGAGCTGTCTCACACGGGAATGAACGACGGATACATGGTTATCGATGGCAAGACGCTAAACCAGAATGGGGAAACAGTGCTGACGCTCACAGCTGAGGTTGCCCAGGCAAAGACTGCATATGTCTTTACTGGGCAGGGGTCACAGTTTGTTGGCATGGGGATGGACCTCTACATGTCATCCACAGCTGCCAGAGATGTGTGGGACCGAGCTGATAGACACATGCTGAAGAAGTATGGAGTTTCTCTTCTGAAAATAGTCCAAGAGAATCCGAGAGAGTACTTGGTTAAACTCGGTGGCAAGAAAGGCTCACCAATTCGTACAAACTACCTCTCTTTGGTACGTGAATATGACGGCAAGATAGAGCAGCTGATTCCGGAGATCACTCAGTCATCAAAATCATACACGCACCGGTGTTCAAATGGCTTGCTCAATGCGACACTGTTCACACAGCCGATCCAGACGGTGATGTCGCTAGCTCAGGCTGCAGACATGCGTGCTCATGGTCTTATCCAGGATGATGCCATTTTCGCTGGCCATTCGCTTGGTGAGTTTGGGTCACTCGCAGCAATTGCTGAGATTGTTTCTGTCGAGAATGCTGTCGACATTGCTCTCTATCGCGGGCTTTTGCTCCATACATCAGTAGATCGGGATGCCAATGGCTGCTCCCAGTATGCGATGGTATCTGTTCACCCGCAGCTTGTTGGAAACAACTTCAGCGAGGCCAATCTAATCCAAATTGTTGACCGTATTCGTGAGCGGAAGCAGCAGCTCCTAGAAGTTATCAACTACAACGTTCGTGGACAGCAATATGTTGTCACAGGACATGTGGAAAGCCTATATATCATGTGTATGGCTGTAGAAGAGCTCTCGTTAAGATTTCTGTCATTAACAGAGTCGAGAGTGGATGATCTATTATCAAGCACTATCGATGATATACTGGCTTCCCATCCTAATGAACAGATATTGCAAAATGGCCGAGCGACAACAGTAATACTTGGTGTTGATGTTCCATCGCATTCAAGTCAGATGTCTACGAGTATTGATACGTTCCGCAGTTTGCTTGACCAAAGGATCCTACATATACAAAGGCTTCCCTTATTACTCTGTGGGAGGTATATCCCCAACCTGACTGGGCAAACGTTTTGCGATTACAAAGAAATACCTTGAATATGTCTATACTCTCACCCACTCACCAGTTATTGAGGATATCCTTCAAGTCTGGAGCACAGATGATGATTGTCCGTCAAAGGAAATGGCATCAGTTGCACGGACTCTTCTTATTGAGCTTTTATCTTTCCAGTTTGCTTCGTCAGTAAAATGGATTGAGACACAGGACGTGATGTTCAACAGGTGTTCTGTGAAGCGCCTGGTCGAGATTGGTCCAAGCTCAACACTGTGCCGTATGACAACCCAAACTTTGGAGAGCGACAATTGGTTGCGCAAAGAAGTTGCTACTCTACATGCACTCAAGGATAAAGATGAGGTGTACTACATAGGTGCTCAAAGAGATGCTGTACCTACTAACCCATTGCTGTTAAGGTCAGCTCAGAGTTCAAGCACTAAACCGAGCATTCAAGAGAAACCATTTGAGCCCCAAATTCCTGCCGTGGAGAAACAGGTACCTTCGCTTCCTGTTCTGCCAGCTGTGGTCTCATCTGTTGATGATGTGCCTATTCCAATTGTTGACATACTGGTAACAGTTATTTCACGAAAGCTCTCTATGGCTGTTCCTGAGATCAATCCCAACAAGTCGATTAAGGAACTTGTAGCTGGAAAGTCAATGGTGCAAAATGAACTATTTGGTGAGTTCCAAAAGGAATTTGGTAAGAAACTTCCTGATCATGCAGAGGAGCAGCCCATAGAGGAGCTTGCCAAGAAGCTTGGAAGCACTACGGACTCCCTTGGCAAGCACTCTCAGTCGCTTGTCGGCAAACTGCTGACTAGCAAATTCCCAAGTGGGTTCACACTGTCAGCTGCTCGTTCTTATTTGATGGATAAATACGGGCTGGGTCCGCGCAGACAAGATGCCTTGCTACTATTGTCAATTACTATGGAGCCACCAAATCGACTTGCTGATGATAATGCAGCCCATATTTGGTTGGAGACAGCTGCCCAAAAGTATGCAAGACATGTAGGAATACCATTGACGGCTGCAACACAAACTGGAAATAGCAGTGGCAACATGGCAAGTTCGGTTGTTATCAACAGCGCTGAATTTGACAAGGCTCAGAGGAACCAAAGAAAATTAATTCTTGATCAGATAGAGACGCTCGCGAGACATGCAGGCCATGATATGCGCCAAGGTGCCAGATCAGCTAATGAGCAGCAGTTGGAGATTGCAGCTCTCGAGCTCGACATTAATGAAATTAAACGAGAGGTTGGTGACAAGTTTATCGAAAAAACCAGAATGCAGTTTGATGCATACAAGGCTCGTCACTTTGACTCATACTGGAACTGGGCCCGTCAGGATGTGTTTGAGTGGATCTCTGGGATTCTGAGTGGAGAGAAGCCAAGTATGGATCAGGATACATATATGAAACGTATCCACATGCTCAAGAACCGGTCCAATCCTGGACTGCTCTCGATGTTGCAGGCATTTATTGAGACTCTCAAAGAAGCCCCTATCCCTTTTTCCCAACATGCTCTGAAACAAGCAGATATCATATATGCTGCCTGTAAGGAGTCAGAAAATGTGGCACCTGTCTATAAAGAGCTTTCAACCCCAATGCGACCACATACTGAGGTTACTCATAAAGGTGATATCGTCAGTTCCGAGATTCCTAGGGAAGGCGAGAAATCGATATGTGACTACATCAAGAGTATGAAAAGCACCAACCAGGATGGATTGCCTTTGCTACATATGCATGAAAAGCATGCTGGAAACACTTGGTCATATGACAAGGAGTTGACTGATGAATACTTCAGTTCGATGGAGGACGCGGCGGTAAACGGTATATCGTTTGAAGGCAAATGTGCACTGGTTACCGGGTGTGGAAAGGGATCCATTGGCTCAGGATTGGTCGAAGGCTTGCTATCTGGTGGAGCTAAAGTGGTTGCTACAACGTCCAATTATTCCCTGTCGTCAATCCGATTCTTCGAGGAGATGTACCGGAAGTTTGGTTCTCGCGGATCTGAACTGATTCTTGTCCCTTTCAACCAGGCATCATCATGCGATGTAGAGGCCCTCATCCAATATATCTACAATGACGATGGCCTTGGCTGGGATCTGGACTACATTGCCCCATTTGCTGCTTTCCCAGAACATGGCAAAGATGCAGCAAGTGTAGACTCCTATTCTGAGCTAACAATCCGTATCCTTCTGACTAATCTGTTCCGGATAATAGGACAGGTTAAAGCAGCTAAGATAAGGACTGGAAACATCCTCCAGCCATCGTTACTTATTCTACCACACTCGTACAACCGTGGAATGGTAGGCTATGATGGGATGTATGGTGAAACAAAGGCAGCCTTGCATACACTGTATAACCGTTGGCATTCCGAATCATGGTCTGAATATATCTCCATAACGGGGGGTGATATCGGATGGACTCGTAGCACAAACATGACATTTGGAAGTGCAAATGTGTATGTAGCCATGGAAGAAATTGGCATGCGTACGTTCTCTCGTGAGGAAATGTCTTTCAACATACTTTGCCTGCTATCACAAAGAATGGAAGAGGCAGCGCACAGCAATCCTGTGTTTGGCAACTTCAATGGCATGTACAAGGTAAACGAAGGCTTTGGGAAAGATCTGGAGAAAAGTCGCTCTGAACTTAAATACGCTACCAACGAAAGAAAGGTAATAAATGCAGCCTATTGCCTAAAGTTCATAGCGGAGAATACGGAGGCCATATTACGAGTGGAACAGGGAAATAAGACGATGCCCCGAGCCCAGCACAGAATCGACGCACCACTTGTAAAGTCATATGAACAGCTCGAACACCTAAGATGCCTGGAGGGCATGCTCGACTTGGATAAAGTTGTCGTTGTGACAGGGTTTGGCGAAGTTGGAGGATTTGGGAATGCAGCCTTGCGCTGGGAACAGGAGGCGCATGGTGTGTTTTCAGTGGAAGGCTGTATTGAGCTGGCATGGATGATGGGGCTGATCAAGAGGTTCTCAGGCGATCATCCTGACACTGGAAGTTATTACATTGGTTGGGTTGACGCAAAGACACAGGAGCCAGTGCATGACATGAACATCAAGGCAAAATACGAGCCATATATCTTGGAACATACCGGTATTCGTGCTGTTGAGCCAGAAGTTTGGGGGGAGGATGCGGTGAATATGAAGTCCTTCATCCGCGAGCTTCAAATCGATCAGGACATGCCTCCATTTGAGACCAGTGCAGAGGAAGCTGTTCATTTCAAACAGGCTAATAGGGACAAAGTTGACATATGGGAGAACCCTGATGGGACATGGTCTGTTAGATTCCTCAAAGGCGCAATAATCCATGTGCCAAAAGGCGGCTACTTTTAACGGCGCCCTTTTATCTCAATTGCCCACCGGATGGGATCCAGTTCGGCTAGGAATACCCAAGGGCCTTGCACAGGGTATGGATGAGTTGAACCGCTACACACTCATTGCTGCGATGGAAGCGCTTCTCAAATCTGGCATTACAGATCCATATGAGCTCTACCAGTACTTCCATGTTTCGAAGGTTGGTCACTCAGTTGGATCTTGTTTAGGTGGAGCACAAAGTAATACAGACTTGGTACGCGGCAGGTATATGGACAAGAATGTGCACCCGGGCAAGTTGATCGAGTGCTCTGTCAATAATATGAGTGCATGGCTCAATACGCTTCTGTTCTCGGCATCTGGCCCATTAAAGCCGACTGTTGGCGCATGTGCTACTTCAGCCATCGCGCTAGACCTTGCTGCAGAATCTATTATCCAAGGAAAAGCGGATATTATGATTGCTGGTGCAGGCGAGGGGTATACCAGTGATATGTCATATGAGTTGAGTTTGATCAATGGCATCGTGAATCCTACGGATGAGCGCATCAAAGGAAGAGATCCTAAGGAGTGCTCACGGCCCTGTACATCTACCAGAGGTGGGTTTGCTGAGAGCTATGGCTCAGGGATGGCCGTTCTAATGTCAGCCTCTGCAGCTCTCAAATATGGTGCGCCAATCTATGGAATTTTGGCAATGACTGCCACTGCCACCGACAAGTCAACACGTAACTCGGGTGCCCCAGGCCAAGGAATATTGTCGATTGGAAAGGAGAGTCCTACCCTGTCAGACTTGCAACTGCTTGATATCCATTATAGGAGGCAGATGCGTGACGCACAGCTGGCTGCACTAGATCGTATCAGCAATGCCAGCGTGGTGAACAAGATGAAAAAGGCAGCTAAGACAACATGGGGCAACGACTTTTACAAAATGGGTGAGTCTATCTCGCCCCTTCGTGCTGCACTAGCGACATGGGGTCTTGGTGCAGATGATATTGGGCTGGCGTCATTCCATGGAACATCCACCAAGCTGAACGATAAGAATGAGTCCAACATTGTGAACATACTCATGAAGCAAATTGGACGCACGCCTGGTCTTCCAGTCCCTGTTGTTTGCCAGAAGTGGATTTTAGGCCATATGAAAGCATCCTCTGCGAGTTGCTCCATGCATGGTATTCTTCAGTCAATGACGACGGGGCTGATTCCAGGAAATAGGAATGCTGACAATATTGATAAAGATTTTGAGCGGTTTGAGCATCTCGTCTATCCGAGTAAGACTATCCATGTGCCGACTATCAAGGCCGCGCTATTCACATCGTTTGGATTCAGCCAGTCCAATGGAGCAGGACTTATCGTTCATCCGGACTACCTATTTGCCGCACTTTCAAAGGAGGAGCTGGACGAGTACACAACTAAAAGTCGAAGAGCGTATGAAGAAGTCAACTCGCTACCTGCAGGGTGCACTCCTTGGAAATCACACGTATTTCCAGGCAAAGGAAGCAGCCCCATTCTCACAGGAACAAGAAGCTAAGGTGTTCTTAGATTCAAATGCAAGGGCCAAGTTGGACTCCAGAACCAACCAGTACACATTCTGAACAGATCCATTACTTTTTCAACTGCAATCATCTTTAAATATCAGAACTGAAATTCAATAAAACATAAAACAGATTTAGGACGTCTATTAACTACTTGCAAGTGTTAGAATCTCAAGATCCGATTACTGCGAACTACATAGCTTTTCATCCTGTTGTTCTTTTCATTCTTTTTCATTCTTTTTCTTGTTGGCTGTGCCGCCTGAGCGATGGTATAAAACCTTTGCGCTCGCCTCTCTCTTCCTATTTCTCTTTAGCTTTTCTTTACATCAATATAATACTTGACCTTGTCGCTTTCTATTGATACTTTGCTCACGCTGCTGGCATATTCTTGGACCGATACATTACTGTTCGAATATCTGTTCCGACTATAAACGAAAATTACACACATATCTACATATAAAGTGTTTCCCGTTACTCGTTTCTTATTTCCTTTTACCTCTTGCCCTACACCGCCCACCGTGTGCTCTAGACCTACAACATAAAAAACTAGTATGTCCTAACATTCTGTCCTAGTTTTCTGTAGCACGTATTTCCAAGGTCTCTTCGATTTAGATTTGGTACATCCAGTGCAAGGTGTGTATTTAGTATCATAGGTGCATGCCTGTCTCTGACTCAGCTGCATGTTGGGTTCGGCTGGTTGGCCAAGCCACTAAGCAGTCAGCGATCTACTCGTTAAGATTGATGATCACTAGATCAATGCTAGCACAAGGCGCTTTGATAGTGATTAGTCTATTTAGACTGCAGCAGTCTTCTTTTTCTGGCTGATTCCACGGTCTACTTTGCCAAGAACCCAGTCGCTCTTAAGGACGAGGTGCTCAGTGGCGTGTCCATCGCATTCATGCAGGTCCCCGAGTCAGTCGCGTTTGCATTTGTGGCGGGGATCTCTCCTGTGAAGGGCCTATACTCTACATTCTTCATTGGTCTGATTGCAGGCATCTTTGGGTCACTACCGGGCATGGTCAGCGGGATTGCAGGCGGAATGGTGAACATTCAAAAAGAGCTGACAGCAGATGACGGGCCCCTGGGTGACAGGTGTCTTTCCGAGAGGACCGAGTGGCTCTTTGCAACTACACTTCTTTGCGGGCTAATCCAGCTTGTGCTTGGGACACTTGGAGTGACAAGATTCTTAAAGCTTGTGCCTCACTCGATGATGGTGGGGTTCATGAATGGATTGGCGATTGTGGTCTTCCGTGCGCAGCTGAATGCGTTTCAAACAGACAGCTCATCGAGGAACCCGAAGGACAACGTCGAGGTCATTAACGGGAGAGTGTGTCCACCGATGGATTTCATTCCGCCCAACGACTAGTGCTGGCTACGGCTTGACGAGGGACAGACATGGCAGGTCCTAATCATCGTGTTCCTGTCGATAGCGGCTGTTCTTCTTCAGCCGCGCATTAAGAGACATTTGTGCATTGGCAAATTCTCGGTTGGAGCCAACGTTCTACCTGCATCTCTGACTGCCATGGTTATCGGCACTGTAATCGCTCGGTTTATATACGACAGTGCGCTCAATCGGCCCATCCGTACTATTGGCGATATGGCAACATTTTCTGGAAGTGTTCCCAAGGCCCACATCCCTGATGTCCCATGGCGGTCTGGCCACTTCTGGGAGATTGTGATCCCGAAGGCTATCCTGCTCGCTATTGTTGGACTTGTTGAAACGGCAATGACGTGGCAGCTGTGCTTGAAAATAGTTGGTGTTAACCTCCCTGCCTACTACTGCAACTGCGACTGTCTGGGGCAAGGTGCTGGAAACCTTTTATCCTCGTTCTTCACGTCTGTCGGTGGGTCGGTCATGGTTGGCCAGACCACGGTGAACCTTACCAATAGGTCTCTCTCTCGTGTTTCTACAACTGTTGCTTCGTTCCTGATACTCCTGTTTGTCGCCGTAGCTGGAAATGTTATCGAGATGATTCCAGTTTCTGCACTCACTGGGATCCTCTTCGTTGTCGTCATCAAGACGTTTGAATGGCGTACATTCGTATACATCTTCCGTTGGAGCATCCCCGTGACTGACATGATAACAATCATTCTTGTCACTGTGCTTGCTGTCGCTACAGACCTTGCCATCGCTATGCTTATTGGTATTGCCTGGAGCGCAGTGGTTCTGGCGTGGAAGCTTTCAAGCAACACTGGAATTGCGATGAAGGTGGAGCCAATTAAAGCAAATACCAGTGGTTATGCAGCTGCACTCACACCTACAGATGAGCAGGCAGAGGGGGCAGACGATGGCGACGGCACCAAAGCCCCTACCCCGATTGTCCCACAGTCAGCAACCAGCATCGAGATTCATATCGAAAAGATGCAGACCAGCACACCTCCAACACCATGCCTAATGGCGTCAGTGAAGATCGCAGGGGCATTGTTCTTTGGATCGGCTACCCAAGTAATGACGTTTTTCGAGAACCACAGCGTTGTTATCCAGTTATCGTTATGTGCTGCTGCTATACTAGACATGTCGGAATCTACCATGTACGATTCGTCTGGTGTAGAGGCACTCAAGACTGTACTTCGGGATATCTCTGTTGATAAGGGCTTGGATCTGTTCATCATTGGACTCGATAGAATCAGCCTGAATCTTGTCACCAAATCGCACAAGCTTGCTCAAATCGTCGCCCACGGCTCACCTGGGACTTACGAAGCGATCCGCGTTGGCCGCGAGGACCTGGTTGAGCGGCATAAGTCAATCTCTATGTCAACGTAAGAGATTAGTTTACTTGTACGATGAAGGTAGGAGCGTACATAGTACATCCCAGCTCACTCAAAGAAATGAAGAAGAGTGGTGCTGGATCATGGGCCTCTAACTGGTACCCAACAAGTGCCTTGGTAGTTCTAGTCCATCGGTACATAAGGGCCATGGCATGTGATGTGTGTGCGGATCATCACACCCAGAATTTGGTGATTAGCATTTTTCAACCCTTGTCCAGCATCGCCAGTAGAATTTTTAAAGCAGGTTTTGGATCGGTTTCTACCGCCTTAGTTTTACTCCCAATTCAACCAATTCTCTACATTCGCCTTATTTAAACAGCTATGGCTATCGGAGGAAACAACCCAATCCCGTCGGTCGACGCAGCCAGCACGTTTATGCTACAGTATGGGCAGTTCGAGGCCACACACAAGCAGCAGCTCGAGTCAGTCGGGCTTGCGAAAGCCGCTGTGGCAGGCTCTCTACCGCAAGCTGACGCAGGAGTCGTTTGATCTGGGCGACTATGTGGTGCTCTATGGGTCTGAGCGCAACACCACAGATGCCAGCAAGCCGCGCGGCATCACCGAGCACAAGCTGTGCCTGGAAGGGGGCCAAGC